TCCGGTTTTTTCATCGCGGTTCATCTTCGACCGATCGGAAATCAAGGTGTCGAGAAGTCCGATACTCTGAGGGTTACGGAACATCGGAACAGAGGGATCGACATTTGAGAAGTCACGGTATCGTCGAACAAAACGTCGCGATATTTTCAGTTGAGGTTCGTGTTTCCTTCGAAGTGAAACTCGAAAAAAAAAAAAAAAACATTTCTGGACGTCTGTAATTACGAAAAAAAAATTCGGTACGTCTGTAATTACGAGAAAAAAATTAAATTACGAAAAAAAAAAATTCTGTACGTCTGTAATTACGAGAAAAAAGTAAATTACGTAATAAAAAAAAATTCGGTACGTCTGTAATTAAGAGGAAAAAAAAAAAAGTAAATTACGTAATAAAAAAAAATTCGGTACGTTTGTAATTACGAGAAAAAAGTAAATTACGGAAAAAAAAAAAATTTTTTCCCCCTTAAATAAGAGGAAAAAAAAAAAAGTAAATTACGTAATAAAAAAAAATTCGGTACGTCTGTAAGTACGAGAAAAAAATTGAATTACATAAAAAAAAAAAATTCGTGACGTCTGTAATTACGAAAAAAAAATTTTGTACGTTTGTAATTACGAGAAAAAAAAAGTAAATAATTACGAATTTGTCATTTTAGGAAACTCCAAATTCGTGCGAAAGTCGAGGCAAGTTTTTGAAGCGTTAGCCGCAGCTAATGCCGACGCTCCAAACTACCGAAGGGCGGGAACCAGTGGCTACGGTTACGGAAAAAAAAAATCCATCACGTACGTCGAGTACTTCGACTTCATCCATCCATCCATTTTCGTCCGCTTATCCGTTACCGGGTCGCGGGGTTAGCGTATTTTTTTTTCCTATCGTCACGGTGACGCCGCAGAAAGCTAACGTTAAAAAAAAAAAAAAACGTTGTCTCTGTGAGAACATCCCATAATATTAGCGATGCGAGAAACACTATTAACAACGAACGAGCTAATTTATATATATATATCGCATAGCGTATTTTTCTGTCCAATGTCCTCCAGGGGGCAGGAGTGAGGAACGTTTTATTTACCCTTTTCAGACTTAAAAAAAAGATATGATCTGAATAAAAATGGCTGCCAAGGGAGGGCGGGAAGGGGGGAGTTCAGATGCAAATTGCCCCCCGCCCCCTACTGCCGACTCCAAGTACAGCACTCTGGTCTGGACCCTTATTTTTTTTTTTTTACGACCAACCAAAACACTGAAAAAAAAAACCCAGTACGACCAGCTAGCCTGTTCAGCTAAGACCAGTCAACGAACAGAACCACGAATTAGCGCCACCTTCTATTCATCTCTGAAACTACAACAACAACCAGGGGCCGCCATTGGTCTGCGTACCTTAGATTGATAATCACCAAGTGACCGAGTTTTGGAAGAGAAACAACGTTAAAACAACACGGAACGACGTCATCGAACAGATTAATAACACAGCGACATTTTAACGAAAGTATGAATTAGAAATCGGCACCAAAAAAAAACGTCAGGAAAAAAATGAATAAATAATTTTTTAACGTTTTCTTAAATCGTCATTTTCTTAATTCAAGAAAAAAAAAATTAAGAATTTAAATCGAAACAATTTTTTCAAAACGAAAAAAAAAAAATTAAAATGGAAGTTAACGTCGCAGAGCCACGTTTTTAAGACCACCTCTGGAAGAAGAAGACCCCCGACCCAAAAACAAATGGGGGAAAAAAAGGAAAGAAAAACATTTTTTTTTACGACTACTTTACGAGTTTTTTTCTTTCCGTTAAATAAAAACATCGTCTTCGTTAAGAAAACGACGTTTCGACATCTTTTGGTTTTTTAGGAGCCACATTTGAATCGTCGACGAAGAAAAAAAAATCATTAAAAAAATTAAAAAAAAAAAAATCACAGACAGTTTGTCTGTGATTTTTTTTTTTTAATTTTTTAAAAATCTTTTTAAAATTTTTTTTTAATTTTTTTTTTTTTAAACCGTGAACAACACACCTTCACGCCGCCACGGTTCGTTCTCCTGTATCCGGTGATGGATCTAGAACTTTCCTCCTCCGAAACAGTACAATCCAAAACGGGGGACCGTGTGGCGCTCACTGACTCCGGCCGAACACGAACAGCGCCAAGCTAACAAGTTTGCGCATATTCGTGCCCAACGAAAGCGGCAGAAGAAAGGAATGTGTGCGTTTCGGAGCTCAAAAAAAAAAAAATCTGAGAGAGAGCCCAAAACTTTCGACAAAACTTATTCCCGCTCCGTCTTCGAGTTCGTCCGTTCGTCGGTTCGTTCGAAGCTTCTTCTCCTTTTCTTTCTTCCGCCGAGGCTAACCTGGAAAACCGCAGCAAGTTACGGTGCTTCTTCTCCCCACCCCCCCCTACCCCCAGAAAAACGTCCCTCGATGTCCCCCGATGAAATCAGTCCTCACCTGCGGGGAAAACGTCCGCGGAACCAGCGGGTTTTAAAAACTCCCTCCCTCGGCTGTGATACAGAATCCGCCGCGCGGCGCGTTGGTTCTTTCGGAAACTTTTCCCACACAAACCGAATTCCTCCGAATCGCGGAGAGTAGTTTTCCCATCGCTGTCGGGACGAAACGCCGTGAGGACGAGAGCCGAGGACGAGTTCAGGTTACTCCAAAAGCCCCCCCTACTCCTTTAAATCTGGGAGTGTGTAGGGACCAGCGTGAGGCGGAAGTAGCGACGCCGGGTTCTTTTTCCTTTACAAAATAAAAGCCCGGCAGAGCGAGCCGCTAAGACCCGGCTTTTTTTCTAAAATGGCGTCTTGACGTAATAACGTTCACGCTTTAAAGTCAAAAACTGGGAATTTTATATATGTATAAATAAACCGATTACTTCATTATTATTATTATTATTCTTTATGTATGTATTTAGTGCGAAATAATTACGACAAAGCCGTGTCGCCGTGTGGGTTTTTTAAAAGAACCCAAGTTGAAAACAAAGATGGCCGCCCGTCTGTATCAACAGGCAGAGGGAAGCGGCGCCGTTTGGCGTCGTTTTATAAACGTTTACGCCATGGAACGAAACCGGTGAAAACACGAATAGTGAATTTTAAAAAACCGTACGTTGATTTTAATAAAGAATGACGGTGTTTTCGTTTAGTTTAGTTTAGTTTCGCCAACTTTCCGGTCGTGAGTACGTTCCAGTCACTGCTGGCCAATGAGGAGCGAGGGCTGACGACGTGAACTAGTTATGGAAGACATGGTTAGTTAGAGTTAAACAGTTAACTTCCGTCACTCCGGGTTTTCATTTCGCCGCGGTTTGGATTTATTTCGGAAAAAAAGGAAATGCTTTTATTTTGAAGGTCACGACATTTCT